GAAGAAGGATCAATGACTTTGGAAGGAATATGCGCTAAAGGCATCGATCCAGGCAAACAGTGAGTGAGAACGTAACACTTTCAAAAATACCATGGCGGCACTGAGCCGTGTGCGCACAGCTGGACAGTGCCTTTGACACTTCACTATTGCAATTCCTGGTTTGGAGATTTTTGCAGTGCTCAAAGCTACACTCTGTATATCAGTATTTGGACAACGGAAGTTGGGTAAATATTTTTCCTTCAAAATCATCAATATGATTGGGACAATAACTCATTTTCTTGAGAATGCCTTCTGCTGGGAACAGGAGCTGCTACATAGTCCTACATGGTGAATTACAGCTGAGGTGGATTGTCACAATGGACTTATACACCTATCATAATAACTAATACGAAAAAAATCTTAATCATGGCCTTGGAAATCACAGTAACAAAATCAAGGATAGTCTTCTGGCTCATAATAGAATAATATTACAGTACATTTTTATAAACTGCCCTTATTTATTCTTCTGTAAATTAATTCAAATGCAGCCACAAAAACAGATGAATGGAACGTAATAAAATAAGAAATGGTTACACCTTTACATTGCCACAAGAGGATTCTTCTGAGCCTGGTAATACAGCTCAGAGCCTTTTCAAAGATGATTACAGAAGTGAATGTCAGAGGTGAGGTTTAATACTGCCTATGGTTTTGGGGATTTGTGCGATTGCTGCTGTGTTGCTACAACAAGGCTGCAACAACACAAGAGAAGGCGAGGAAGCAAACAATATACAGGCAGCTCCCAGAATATATTTGTTCAAACACTGTTGCTGCAGCTTCTCAGATGAACAGCCTGCTCTCCTGAGTATCTACTGCTGGGAAATTGATGTCCCTGGGAGCAATGGAAAACAAATCAGAAATCTATATTACTCATATATTTTAAAGTGGCACAAAGTTCAGAATGCCACGTGCCTCGAGAAAGAAATGGAGACCAGCTGTATTATGGAAAAAAAATGTAATGATCGTGAACCTTATTTTTGTGCTGAGTTTTAAATTCATTGCTAGACTTGCAGCACAGAAACAATGAGGCAAAAAAGAAGCCTCTTGGCAGAAAAATTTTGGATGTGACAACTGACATCATTATAAATGGCAGACAAAGACTATTCCCTAGGATGGGATTGTGAAATGTCTTACAACTCAATGGAGACAGGAAGGGACTTGAGCTTTCCTGGAAGCCCAGGACTCCCGTAGATTTCAGTGGGGCTTTCGTGCGGTCAGAGCATCGCAGGCACAGCTTTCACTACAGCAACACAAAGACATGCTGAGTTTCTCACCGATTCAACTGCAAGGAGCACATCCCATAACATGGCTCAAATGACTTATCCCCTAGCTATTTGAAGCACCTTCATGTACAAGACTCACACACAGTTTTTGCAATGCTCATGAAGCCTTTCTCTTCTAAGGCAAGCAATGAAGAACTAAATCCAGTAGCAAAGTGCTCCACCTCTGCTGTAGTTTTAACATACAGTGTGCTTTATTTTCAAT